GAGATCTGAAATATTTGTCAAAAGAACAAAGTGAAAATTTGATGTCAAACTTTGGTTACATGACAAAGGAGCTATTTATAAATTAACACAAAAATAACCAAAAATCGAAAGCCTCGCGGTACAGCGAGTCCATCAAGCAATTTGCAGTGTCATTGTATTTTTATAGCCCAAGGAGCTACCGGTTTGTTAGAAAATCACTTCACTTACCATGTCCAGCAGCCATAAGATCATGGGCAGCAGCCATAGATTGTGAGCCTGTTTTTTTTACTGATGTCATTGATGAATTGAAGAATAACCTGGATGAAGATGAGAAAGATTGTGCAATATTAGTGGATGAAATGTCTATAAAAAAAGAAGTACTGTGGGATGGAAAGAACAAAAAGTTTGCTGGCAACACAGATTATGGATGTATTTTAGCAGAGGAACAAGACAGTATAGCAACTAATGCCTTGGTTTTTATGACAGTTGGACTTAAAAAGCCATGGTTCAATGGTAAAATGCAAGCAAGCACAGTTAATCAAAGAAGCAATCAACTTACTGACTGAAGCGGGACTAGATGTCCAAGCAGTAGTATTTGATGGTTGTGCAAAAAACTTGACGACTGCTAGGTGCCTTGGATGCACTTGACAAATTTGACGGATCATCCAACCACCCATCACGGCCAAACAAAACTATATATGTCATTTTGGATGTGTGTCACATGTTAAAGCTTGCCCGTAACAGCTTGGGGGACAAAAAAGTTTTTCACACAGACACTGGTGCCAAAATCTGCTGGAATTATATCACAGAACTATATAATGTCCAGAAGAGTGATGTTCTTCACCTTGACAACAAGCTTAAAGTGGCATAATCAAGTGGCATAATCAAGCATATCAAGTGGCATAATCAAAAAATGAAGGTGGCAATTGCAGCACAAACCCTTAGCAATTCTGTAGCTGCTGGATTAATGTACCTGAAAAATATTAAAGTGCCACAGTTTCTAGACAGTGATGAAACAGCAGAGTTCATTTTGAAAATAAACAACTTGTTTGATATTTTAGAGAAGAGAGAAGGAGAATAACGGCCAACCTTCCTTGGCTGATCACACATATGGTCAATCATACTCTTCCATGCCAAGTCTGATTTCTTTCAAGAGCTATGGTAGTCTGATAAACCCATCCACATCAGTGTTAAAGACCGTAAAAGTAGCTGACAGTCGTCTCCGTCTTTTGGCAGCCAAGTGGAGTAATTTGCCAGAAAAAGCACTGGAAACATTGCAACGGGACGTGCTACAAGAAGTGAAGCCAAGTGCTTTTCAGTCACTGCAACAACACTCCCAAGACACTCACGTACTGGACAAAGATCTTCGTGACGACCACATGACCATCCTCGTAAAGAAAATCACGGATTTGTACAGCAAGATATTTCTTCACCAGTTCTCGAAAGTCTATTCAGAACGAATTGTCAGGCAAGAGGCACCATCAAAACGGCAAAAGCTAAATAAATTCATTCTTTTTGGAAACGACTAGCAAACTGCCAAACTATAAAAATATTAAACGGTGTGTTTTGACGTTAAAACTTAAAAACCAATCTTACGTTCATAACGGTGGGAAGTATATGATCCTGAACGATTTCACGAATAGATTTCACGTTTAAACAGTATAAAAACACCATTCACGAGGCTATAGATGTTAACATAGCAAAGTATTTCTGGCAATGAAACGCTCGAACTGACCAAGTGACCATTTCACACGAACTTTCATCGATGGATAATTTTGCCAGTTTTCATCCAATTCAATCATATATATGCTCAAAATCTTCACGGTAAGTTTCTCTTTACCGTAAAACTTGACCGAATAAGTTTCGAAACAATGCGACGGCAAAAACTGCAAAAAAACCTGATTTTCGTAATAGAATCTATAGCCTTTTTGCCCTGTTGTACCGCCATATTGGATTTATCATGTAGGCCCCGCCTGCGCCAGGTATGCGTTAGCAATCTAGGTCTCATATATCTATGGTTTTAGATCACCCCTGATGAAGACACTAGACTGGAGTGTCGAAACGTTGGGTCTTGATTACAATTCGACTGGGCTTTGTAATCATTTATTTAAACCAGAGTAGCGAGCGAAACATGAGCTACCTACTTTTACCCAAATTATCCATTTGGCTCCTGCCAATATTTACCCAAATTATCCATAAATAACCCTAAGTATTGAGAAAAATTCAAGAATATTACTAAAAAAGCCAAAGCTGCTGTTTATTTTAACCAGTATGAACATGTTTACGTTCTTTTAAAACTGACATTTTACTGCACTGAGGATTCAACGACAAGAACAATGAATTTGGAGATGTGTTAATGCCAAATAAATCCTATTACAGTCAAACCGGATGTTCTCTTGCGAGCAACATTGCAATATTGTCCCACAATATTGCAATTTTGATAAGCATATTCCTCTGAGCAATTTGCAACCTACGCGAACAAATTGCAAGTTGAAATTCACAAACGATTTGTAAACAAAGCCTCTGATTGGACTATAAGAAAGAGAGAAGCCAATCAAATAGTCTGAGCGACTGGATTGGTGCTTCCCTCTTTCTTATAGTCCAATCAGAGCCTTTGTTTTCAAATCGTTTGTGAATTTCAACTTGCAATTTGTTCGCGTCGGTTGCAAATTGCTGAGAGCAATCTGCCTATCAAAATTGCAATATTGCGGGACAGTATTGCAATGTTGCTCGCAAGAGAACATCCGGTTTGACTGTAAGCGGTCAAAATGATATCTTATAGCCCGACAATACAAAAGTAAGAGACAGCGATCGCCGATGGCGATGCACAGGAACAATTTTCGATATAAGACTGCTAATTAAGTGTTAACTATGCTTTTGTAAGAACAGAGTAGACCAGACACAGTACTAACTAAATGCGGTGCTTTACAATGCGATTCCGCCTACAAGCTGTGCTACATGTAAAGGTTATATTTTATCGTATACGCTACATTCCTGTCGGCGGACAGTTGTTCCACACGCATGGTTAAAATTTCGCTTTAAAACCTTCAAAATAAACAATTGTCGGATCAAAGTACTATCAAAATGAAGATAAAAGTGAGACGAATCCATTCGTATACGGCCGAAAAGGAGAAAACCGACGATACGAAAGTTATCAAGGAGCAAACGTACTGCATTTTTAAATAGCTGAATAATATAAATTTTGAGAGCGATTTGTGACATTTGTCAACAAGACAATTTCGCTTGACTTTCAAAGGTCATATATCGCCACTCGCCAGAATACTGCTGTTCAGTAATGAATTTGGTATCCGTAAGTACAATTTCGTACGCTGATTCGAACGATGGTATTTTTTCCTTGTTGGGTCACTTGGATGCATATTAAACCAGAGAATCACGAAAGCCAGGCGGGAAATTTCCCGCCAAGAACAAATTTATATTCATATTTTCATCGTTGTATCATTTGATTGGACGAAACCTTTTCCCGCGTGAGAATATTCTTTCTCATTCCCCACTGGCTTTGCGAAGCGAGATTTCTCGTAAGTCAAGTCCATTTGGAAAACTCAACATCCATATGAGAATAAATCTACCGTAATCTCTGTTATACCCCCTACCGGGGCCTACTTTTAGAGGCACCTTTGAGGAAAGGGGAGAGCGCTCATTTATTTATTTGTAAAATGATATAAATTTGTTTATAATAATTATAAATAAAATTTGTGTGCAGAAAATTAATAAATCCTAGCTGAAGACTTCAGGTTTTTTGTATAAACAGAGAGGGGAATTAATAAAATTATTCATCTAAAAAGGGGGGGGAGTTATTAGAGAGGGGGCCTGATTTCATGATGGCTTAATAGGGTGAATAGATAGATAGATAGATAGATTGTTTGTTTAATAAGATTAACACATAGCAGCCAAGAGGCTGAATTGCGTGCTAAATTTTACAAGAGAAATGATTAAATTAGTTATTCTATATTTACAGAAGTTTAAAATTACATTACAATTTAT